ATCCTGATTTTGTTCAGGATGGCACTGAGCCCACAGGAGGCTATGGTCCTTCCTGCCCTAAAGCAGAGCCCAGCAGGCCTCTCCAGTACCAAACAGGAGAGCAGAGTGGGCTTTGTGGACAAAGAGGCAAGCCTGAGGAGATTAGGTAGTGGCTCTGAGATGTTACTCTTTGGACTTTCCCTCCTACCCACACAAAGATGACAGGTGCATTCTTGGTGTGTGGGCCGTACCTAATCAGACAGGGCGGGGGGTGGGGTGGGCTGAACTTGGGCCACAGTTCTTGTGTCCCTGCTCTAAAGCCATCACACCAGTCTCCCACACAGGGTGGGCACCTGACCCAGGGGTGCTGGGGAAGGGGTGGTTCCGGGCAAGCGTTTGCCATTTTGATAGAAGGAGGCAGACGCTGCAGCCCGATCCCTCTCCTTTGTTCTTTGCCTTGGACAAGAGTGTGCATTATGGAGGCGCTGATCATTCTGGGGGCAGCCAAGAGGACAAAACCAACACATCACAAGATTGTGAAGTGGAGCGAAAGAGCCTGGGTCCTCGGTGGGCAGCAGCAGCAGCCCTCCTACCCTGAAACTCCTCGGGAGGGCCAGAGGTACGCCCAGGTCTCCCCGGCCGCCAGTTGGCTCCCTGGTAGCTTACAGCTGTGTTCTTAGCTGATGCAGTGTGCCCAAGACGTCAACCATCGCACCTGCCCCCCGGACAGATGCTGGTGCCCCCACAGCAGTGTTTGTGCCATGTGACCCACCCCACTCCCATTTGCTGGCCCCCACCGTTCAGACCTGACCCAATGTTAGCCAATCCACTGGCTGCCCAGTGACCCACGACCTCGGGGCGGGTGGGACCCATCTGATTCTCCCTCTTGGTGATTGAGGTCCTTCTTTGGTTTCTGGTGGGACACAGATTGGCAGAGTCTGGGCAATGGTGAGTCCCAGATGCAGCCCCCACACGGATCGGTGGCAGCCGTGCCTGGGGCCCCCTGCTCTGAGAGCCCCGCCTGCTGCAGCCCCGGTGCCAGGGTTTTGCCTGGACTCCAAACTTACTCGGCTGTTTCTGCTCAGTTCCGCTCAGAGCAGAGTGAGGGAAGAATGTGGGCCGGGGTCCTTTTCAGCATTTCCCTCATTTCCCTGCTCCCCTCAAAGGGCAAGGGTGGCAGAGAGCAAAGAAAGGTGAGCCCCACCCCACAGGAGGGCTGAGCAAAGGCCCCCTCCCCCAGCCCCTCTCCCCAGCACCACCTGGAAGCCCCAGAGAGCTGTTCCAGGCAGAGACTGTGGGACCGACTTTGGATTGCAAGCATCTGGTTTTGTGCTTTCCTGGAGCCACAAGGGGCGGAGGGAGAGGAAATTCTTTCCAAGTGGCCGGTGAGCAAGTAACCCCCTGGGGGTGTCAGAGGGTGGGAACAGACACGGGGTCAGGAGGGCTCTGAGGAGTGGAACCCTGACAGGTCACTGAGGGGAGCGCGACCCAGGTTCCCAGCCCTGCCCCAGGATCTGTCAGCACCGGAAATGGGAGGCACCAGGAACTGGCACGTGGCTGGGGGAGCCTGCAGGGGCTGCGCTCCAGGTGGGAGGCTGGGTGGGCTGCAGGTCCCGTAGAAGGCCCCGGGGCATGGCGTGACCTCGGTCAGTGGGTCTAGCTCACCAGGACCTGGGTGCCAGCCCCCAGGGGCGGAACACCTGTGAAGGGTGTCTCTGGAGGATGAGGACAACTCCAGAAGTCACAGAGTGCAGAGGCCGGGGCAGCAGGTGAGTAGGGCATGCATCTGGGGTGTCTGGGGGCCCTCTAGGGGGCAGGCTAACACAGACATGTGGAGCCAGAGCCAGTCCCTGGGAGTCACTTGTGTGCAAGTGGCCACCAGGAGGACGGGGGGCAGATGAGATGACGGGGACCCTGAGGAAGGGAGGAGTAGGACCCTGGGGGACCCCAATGGGCCGGGAGAGGAACGTGTGGTGGGATAGGAGAGGGGTCCACAGTGCACAACAGACCCCCGGGGTGGGAACCAAACATTCCAGGAAGCAAGAGGTGGCCGTCAGTGCCCATCCATTCTGCAGAGTCAGAGGGGAGGGGACCAGGGACATAGAGGGTCCCAGGGGACTTGCAGAAGTGGCCCTTGTCCCAGAGTGTGGGAAGCAGGGCATGGAGGGCAGGCAGACTGGAGCCGCAGTGCTTGAGTGGGAAGTGGGAACCAGGCTTCCTAAGGGGGGGGGGGCACTCGGGTGGATGCCAAGGTCCTCGCTTGCTTCTGTCCCTATCACATCTCACCAACTCCTTCAGGCCTCACTCCCTCCCCCGCTGCCCCCGCGGTCCATGCAAAGGAGTTCCTACTCCCTGTTTATTGCAGCCCCCAGGGACCGTGTAACCAGATGCATGGACTGAGTGTGGAGATGGGGAGCCAAGGGTGGGGACGTGGGGGTGCAGAGGCACCTGAGGACCCAGGAAATGCCACAGGGCATGCACTTCCTCCAGATGGCCCCCAAATCACTTGCAAAAGCCTCCCTTCTCCCTCCAGGCTTTTTGGCCCTTCTATGATCCTTTGCCATGACCCAAGACCAGGGTTAGCAGCACAGGGCTGTATTGATGAGGACAAGGTCCCCAGGTGTGCCTGCTGGGATTGGGTCTTTTTGGGGGGCTCTGCACCCTCTTGCACCTCCCACAAGCTCAGTAATCAGTGTGGGGGCAAGGAGGGTACAGGAGGAAGAAGTCATGTGCAGAGGGTCCCTGTGCCTGGAGGCTTGAACGTCACACATGTTTTGTGTATGACTACTTAGGCCTGGAGCAAGTCCTGAGTAAGCTCCCTGTCTTCCCACCAGCTGTGTCGGCCTGCAAGGAAGGCCAGAGAGGTCTCCAAATCCTCCCAGTGAAGGCTTCTGCCCACCCTGCTCCCCTTGGCCTCACTGTGGATCTCCCATGGGCTCCACGGCCCTGGCACGTGGGAGCCAATGTAGGTCCACTTCAGAGACCCTCTCAACTCCACACCTGCTGTGAGACCCTCTCAACTCCACACTTGCTGTGAGACTCTCTCAACTCCACACCTGCTCTGAGACCTCTCAACTCCACACCTGCTGTGAACAGGTCTGGTTCAGCCCTGCCCCGGGAGGCCAGTGTGCAACCCTTTGACACCAGGCCCTGCCCCCTCGCTGACCCTCTGATAGGACCAGGGACTCTTACCTTTGTGAGAAGACACTACAGACTGTCCCTAACCTCCGTGGGGGAGGGGGGGGGCAATGTGCGCACACTGGCGCCCTCTTTGGGGCGTGCAGCATGTTCCCATTACCGTGTGAACTGCCCTTCCCATGCCCTGGGGGCAGCCTGGCCTGCACACCTGGACCCAGGGGGTGAAATGCCTGCGTCCACGCCCTGGTATCACCTGCCTTTTTAACCTTGTAAAACTGGGGAGACAAAGTTGAAATTGTGACACCCTTTCAAACAGGCTACCTCACAGTACTGGATGGGAGCTTTTGGCTCAGTGTACTGGCCCATACTGGCCCCAGCAGGGGGCTCTCCCAGTTTCAGACCCCCCTCCCCCAGCAACCCCAGGGTGCTGTGTAGCCAGCTCTCCCTCCCGGGTTACACGGGGCCGCAGTCATTGTTCCCAGGCAGCTTGGACGTAGCTGAGGGCTCCTTAAGACCCAAGTGCCTGCAACACCGCGGGCCTAGGACAGTTTGCTCAGAGCTAACAGGCGTGGTTCCCAAGCTAGGGTTCTTGTCCTAGCCCCGCGCACCTGCCACTTTGGGCTTGGGTATCTTTTCCAGTGAAGCTGCAAGCACTTACAAGGCATGGGGAGCCTTCTTGTCTGCCGGGGGCCGTTTTGATATTTATAACTTCATTCGCGGACCATACAAAATTGTCAACTTAAAAATTAGCCTGTTACAGATTTACTGAATTCTGAGTCCCGCCTGTGGTTGCCTTGGCAGGGCTGGACCACATGATTTTGTGGGGCTTTATTCCGCCTGTGGGCTGGACACTCCCCACTCCCGAATGGATGCATCTGGCGAGACTGACCAGGGACATTCGTGCTTATGACCGCTGTTTGTTTCCCAGGACGAATCACGGGAATAGTAAAGGCCAATAAAACCAGGTATTTTGGTCATAAGGAAAAGTCCCAAAGGACAGCAGCCATCAATTAAAGAGACAGCTAAATGGAATCTAGAAAGGCACAAAGTAGATCCAATCTATCCTGTCGTGGACATTTAGTACTTGAAGGATTTTAGAAAAAAAAAAAGTTCTTTATAGGTTATTGGCTAAAGAGGGACAATTTGCACAGTCTGGACAAAATAGAAGTAATCTTACCAATAAATATGTCTCCAAATGACAAACCAAGCTCTCCCACGTTGGTGGCTCGGAATCCCAGCAAGAAGTGATGGGCACGGACAGGCACAGGGAGCTATGCACAGAGTGTAAACAGTAGGGCCCTTGCGGGGCGGCCATGAGGGAGGTGAGAGGGAGTGCGTGGAGGGTACGGGGAGCAGCAGCCAGCCGGCCTCTCCAGCTGCTGCCAGAATCGTGGGTGGTGGCCGCGGGTCCCCTGGGCTCCTCCAGGGCCGCCGCAAGAAGCTTCGTCCTCCGAGGAGGGATCCTGGCCCTTCTGGCTTTTCCTGGGGGGAGACAATGCGGGCAGCCAGGCTCTGTGCCTCTTCCTCCTGAAGAGGGGCTGCAGGAGGCTAGCCTGGCCATGCTCGGCGCTGTCTACCCAGAGGCTATGGAATGGCGCTTGGCGCGGTGTTTCTCAAGCACGGGCGGCATAAACGACCCGCCTTCTTAGGCAAGAAGTGCCCCGGGCACCTGTGTCCAGCTGGGGGCCTCACAATTCCCAGTCCCACGCCCCGCCCCAGTGCCTCGGGGACGCCACGCGCAGCCCCCCTTCAGCAGCTGGGTCTCCGACCCACCCGCCACCCTCCCCGGAACGCTGCGCGTCTCATCCTGCTTCGTCTGGCTGGGGGTGGGGGGTGGGAGGTGGGGAGGTGTTCGGGGTAGGGGTGGGAAGGGAGAGCGGGCCTTAAATGTCAGTCTCGCGGAGGTTGCGGTAGTCGGCCAACTCGTAGGCCTGGCAGGTGTTGTCCTCGGCCACATCGCGGGCGACGCTCAGCGCCACGGCCTCCACCTCCGAGCGCAGAGCGCACGCGGCCTCCGCGCGCTGCGCGCCGCCGGCGCGGATCTTGTGCGACAGGCTGGAGACCTTGGCCCGCAGCTGCGTGGTGGGCCGCCGCAGGGGCCCTAGCAGCCGCCACTCGCGGAAGGCGCAGGGCGGCTTTCGACGGCCGGCGCCCGCAGCCTGCCCCTCGGGCGCGGCGGCGGAGCTGGGGGCCGGCGGCGCGGTGAGGGCCAGGGCGGCTCCGGGGAGCGCGGCGCCCGCGCTGAGGGCGCAGTCGGGGTGCGGGCCGCCTCCGGCCGAGGCCCGCCAGTGGTGGCCGTAGACGCGCCAGAGCGGGCGGCGGCGGCGGCGGCGCCGGCACTGGCAGCGCAGCAGGCGGAGGAAGGCGCGCTTGAACTCGCGGCTGGAGCAGGGGTAGATGAGTGGGTTCACGCAGCTGTTGAAGTAGCCCAGCCAGAAGATGACCTTGAAAACGCCCTCGGACGGCTTCAGCTGCGGGAACAGGGAGCCTGCAGGGAACAGAGAGCCGGGCCTGTGAGCAGCTTGCAGTCGGGGAGGCCCCGGGGGTGGGGGATGGGGGTGGCGCGACCCTCGCCAGCCTCGGGGGAGGTGGGGGCGGGGGGGGGGGGCTGGCTGAGCCATTAGCTGACGGCTGCCAAGGCTGGTGCAATTCGATGAACTTGCATGCGGGAAAGCAGTCACCTCCGTGTTAACGCGCTTCTACCCGAAGAAACGGGGCATTTTCTTCGGTGAGTGCAGGCAACAAAGCAGAGTTAGACAAAGCCATGTGAGGAGGCATTTCTGTGGATCAAAACTGGTGCCATCTCGCGGTTCTGAATGACTCAGCCTAGCCTCAGCACTTCCCGCGGATGTTGTCCTGTCACGGCAGCTTTTCTGGAATATTCTCTAAGCTATTTGGAAATGCCTGGCATTAGAATGGGTCTTGTTTAATGTCTTAGCATAGAAGGCCATTTATTACTAAGTCACCGGTGCCGTGTCAAAATATTTTGACAACTTTTCTGGTAAAATCAGCTTCATTTGCATCCTCTGTATTTTGTTTATTGCTTTTGAAAGCGTGACTCCAAGGGGCAGAAGTCTGGCACAGCAGCTACGATGCCCCTGGGGACGCCGGCATCTCCTGAGTATCTGAGTTCATGTCCCGACTTCTCACTCCAGTTTCCTGCTCATGCGAACCCTGGAAGGCAGCAGGTGAGGGCTCCGGTGCTCGGGCCCCTGCCACCCGTGTGAGAGACCTGGACTGAGTCCCGGGCTCCTGACTGCAGCCTAGCCAGCCCTGGCTGCTGTGGACATTTTGGGTAGTTAACTAGCATGTGGAAGGTTCTCTCTTCGCCTTTCAAATAAGTAAAAGTGGCCGGCGCCACGGCTCAACAGGCTAATCCTCCGCCTTGCGGCGCCCGCACACCGGGTTCTAGTCCCGGTCGGGGCGCCGGATTCTGTCCCGGTTGCCCCTCTTCCAGGCCAGCTCTCTGCTGTGGCCAGGGAGTGCAGTGGAGGATGGCCCAAGTGCCTGGGCCCTGCACCTGCATGGGAGACCAGGAGAAGCACCTGGCTCCTGGCTTTGGATCAGTGCGATGCACTGGCCGGCAGCCATTGGAGGGTGAACCAACGGCAAAAGGAAGACCTTTCTCTCTGTCTCTCTCTCTCACTGTCCACTCTGCCTGTCAAAAAAATTTTAAAAAAAAATATATCAAATAAGTAAAAGTAAGTAATCTTTTTTAAAAAAATAAAAAAGAAAATACTTTGAGAAGGAATTTATAGACTTTGCCAGGTGCCTAAGTTGTCCCTAGCAGCAAGAGGGGGAAGAACCCCAGGATTAAATTTTTAATATATATTTATTTATTTATGAGGGATAGAGATGCTTCCATCTGTTGGTTCACTCCCCAAATGCCTGCAACAGCTGGGGCTGGGGCTGGGCCGAGGCCAAAGCCAGGAACTTGATCCACATCTCTCACGTGGGTGGACTCAGCTGCTTGAGCCAACACCTGCCTCCTCCCAGGGTCTGCATTAACAGGAAGCTAGAGTTGGGAGCAGAGCCAGAACTCAAATCCAGATTCTCCCATGTGGGCTGTGACAGTCCCATCGGCAGCTTAACTGACAGACCAAACACCCACAGCCAGAATTAAACATTGACCAAAGCTTGCCCCAGGCCAGGCAGTGGGCTGGCCTCTCATCCACAGGAGGCATTAACCATGGCCCTGGCTTCCTGGGTAGCAACGGGAATAAAATACCATGGAAACACAGGTAGGTGACAGTGGTACCCAATATGTGCGTGTAGGGAGGTGGACTCAGGCTCAGCTCCCCGGCATCTCAGAGGCTGGACCAGAGGCAGCGGGATGAGGACGTTCCAGGGGGGAGGTACAAGGAGGCAAGAAGCTGCCAAGTGTGGGCTGGGACTTCCCCGTAGGATAAACTCAGAAAACCTCACTCGAGACAGATGGGGGAGGACCTTAAAGGCTGGGAAGCTCAGCTTTTACCCTGTGGATAGTGGGAGCCACGGATACTTTTAAGCAGATGAGAGATGGGGGCTGGAGTCAGGCCACAGTGAACATAGTGCCCATGTGGGAATGTTGGGTGGTGGCGCTGTACCATTGCACCTGGGTGGAAAGGGCTTTGGGGGTAGCTTTGAACTAGGAGAGTTCCAGGCGGGTGGGGGTCGGAGCCCTGGGGTCTGTGCTATGCCCTTCGCTCACAAACCTCTCCCTGACATCCCCACCAGAGACCTCACGGCCAGACGCCAAGGCACAACCAGGGAAGCAGAGGCCATCTTTCTCATCCTGGTCAGCAGTGGATGGAGGGCAACAGGCGGCCAGGAAGCTGGATCCTGGTGGGGGGCCACAGGGGCCTGTGAGACCAAGCAGGCCGGGGTGTGGGACGGGCCTTGACAAATCATGCCATCTTCTCTCTCTTCCCCGTTCTCCAAAAGAAAGAGGAGCAGGGTCCCCTACCGAGGACCTGGGGACTCCTGCAACCCTCCATCCCACCACAGAGGGACCCTGGGAGGAAGGGCACAGTCACACACATCCCATAGCACAGCTGTTTCCACTCCCGCTCACAGCGCCCTGAGCACTTATTTGGCCATCAACGTCCCCTCTTTCTCTTCCAGAGCCCAGCACTCAGCAGGCTCCCGCTAAATACCCGTGTCTGTTCTCTGCCCGCTCCTCCCCACTTCTGCATCCTCCCAGAGAGAGGCGCCTTCGGCCCTGGGCTGGGGCCTGGACAGTGGCCAGACACAGTGGCTGAGAGCCGACGGGTTCGAGGGCCCAAGGTGCTTTCTGGGATGTGGGGGCCAGCAGGCTTGATGGACTTCAGCCTCCAGAAGGTGGCCCTCCAGAACAGCACCCCTCAACGGTGCAAAGCGAGATGGAGCGCTGAAAATAGCCCTGTGACTCAGGCTCCGAGCCTTTTATATTTAGCCCAGGATGACAAATCCGTGGACTGTGCTTTCCAGGGGTGAGCCTGAAGCTGGCCAGAGGACAGTGGTACCAGCCTGCGTTGATCAGGATGGGTGAGCAGCGGGGCTGGGGTCTTGCTGTAGCGTTCATATTCTGTTTGTGCTCAGGAGGCTTGGGCAGGAGTCTGCGGTGAGCTGGGAGCTCCGTGCACAGGAAGGAGCTGGGGTTTAGCCTCAGTTCTCTGGGCCCACGGTTTCCCTCCTGTATCCTGCCGAGGTTTGCTTTTCCTTGGGCTCTCCCAGAAGCAGACTCTGTGACAAGCGTTCAAACACAAGCTGTTAATTTGGGGGCATCAGTGAGACACCCGGGGTGGAATGGGCAGAAGAGGGAAGAGAAGGAAGCCAAGGACAGGTGTGTTGTCAAGTTCATCATCCCCAGCGCGACACGACTGGGGCATAACCCCACTGGCGAGCTCGGGGAGACGAGCACGGATCTCAGAGGGCTCCCACCAGCGGGTGTTTTTCACACCTGTTCCCATTAGTCATCCGCTGGGCTGCCGGCCTCCTACCTGGAGGACGGCAGGGATGTTGGTGGCAGAGCAGCCCCTGGCCAGGATGTAGGCAAGTGTTCAGGTGGAAGCTGGCCCATGTGCATGGGAGGTCTGGGGGTGTGAGTGGGCAGCAGCAGCGGCCACAACTTGATTTGCTCACTGCCCACACTGTGCCTAGAGCAGAGACGCTGGGCCGGGGCTCCTCAGACCACACTCAACAGCTCCCAACAGACGCTCCCGCTCCCTCTGTTCCTCTCGCAGGCAGCAGGGGTGAGCCTCACCCCCACCTCTGCCTGGGTGCCCAGTCTACACCTGTACCTCCCTGCCTCCCTCTCCCTGCTGCTCCTCTCTTTATCAGCCCATGGTTTCTTGCAGGGGTCTCAGAGGGAGCTGCGGGCATATCCCTCCCCATTGTGCACCATGAGTGTAGGACTGGGGCTCACGGCACAGTCCCTGTATCACTGCTGTACCATTGGAGGGCGTCGATGCACAAAGCCCTTGTCCGCTATGACCAGTGTTCCTGTCTGCCCGTCACTCTGAGTTATGCTTCTGGATCGGCCAGCTGCCTCACCTCCTCACCCTTTGCACATCTTTGCCAGCTCCTCTACCCCAGCCTCGGGAAAGCCTCAGTGGGCAGATGGAGGTGCTGGGGCCAAGGCCACACTCTCCCAGTGCCCAGCAGCCTCCTTCTCTTCCCTAGGGAGGTCCCTTGCTCCCGCCCCACACCGTCCACAGCCTTTCTCGCTGAAATCAAGTCCGGCTGTGCCACTGCTTGCGAGGGGGGCTCCCGTGTGCTGCTCCCTTGGCCGCCCACCTCTCCAGCCCCCAGCCTCACCCCCTTCTGTCTCGTGGCCCGAGGGTCCCTGTGCAGCCTTACTTTTGCCTGCATGTGCAGTAGCCAAGGGGCCAACGGGCCTCCGCGGCACACTGGCTCCCTGCTCTTGCCTCTGGCTGTTTGGCACACGATCTCCCCAGAATGCCCTCACTTTGCCTCCTGGTAGTGCCAGCCCCACTGGCACCTCCTCCTGGATGCCTTCCTTGCACCTCCCTGTCCTGACCCAGCCAAGTCATTTGTACTGCCTCGCCCTCCCCCCAGCACATCGCACTGCTAAGAACCCTGAGGGCAACTGTTTGCTGCCCAAGCTGCCCACACCGCGTGTGGCACACGGGAGGTGCCTGGCACATTCCAGGATTCTTCCTTCTATCACAGCCTGCATCTCATCCACCACCAACTCCTGCAGAGCCCTAAGTCCCCCCGACTCCGCACCACCACCCTCGTCTCCCAGGCAGTGTCCTACGCGGTCCCCTGCCCCTGTCCTTGTGTCCCCACAGCCTGATCTCCGCACAGCAGCTGGGGGGCCACGCACTAGCACTACAGCCACCTTCTCCTCGGGCCTGCCCTGCCCACGTGTTCCAGACTCACGCTGGCCTCATCCAGCCAGGTGCTAACCCGGAGCCACTGAGCCAGCCCCGAGCACGCGGGGCTCCTTGCCCTGTTTCCCGCCATCTCAGCTCCCCTCCCCTGCCTGCTCCCCACTTTCTGCAG